GATAACCCTCTGCAAGGAGAACATCCAACCACTGAGACATGGAAGAAATGCCACTCAACTTGGGACCGCCCTGAGAGCACAGGAAGATGTTGAAGCCCAGCAACTGCTCCTCCAAGAAAAACAGTAAGATTATTCATTGTGAAACATGAAAAAGAATTAAACTTGAAATTTCATTTCATATTCGAGAATTCATGCCGTTTATCAACAGAAAGACCATCTATGAATTCCACTAATCATTTTTTTTGTTCCAATCTATTACTTATTAATGAATTTAATTAATTAACACATTTTTGTTCAATATTAAATTATCTGAATAGAACTAGTCCTAAAAGAAAATTAATAGTTTCGTCCCAAGAAAGTTTATTTTCCTCCTACGCACTGAAAATATTTTCAATCAAATTCAATCATGTCTATCCCGACTTTGTACATAATTTCAATTAAAAATTGATAACGATGAAAAATCGTAGGGTAAGTGTCAGTTAATAATTTCAAATCCTCACTGAATAATTGTTCTCATCACAGGAAATACGAGGACGCAATAAAAGACTACGAAGGTGACGATCCCCTGGAAATGTGGTATGAATACATTTTGTGGGTTGAACAGAGCTATCCAAAGAGCGGACATGAGTCTCACATTGGTAAACTACTGCAGCAGTGTTTGGCGGCATTTGAGAAAGAAACCAAATATCACCAAGACCGTAGATACATAAGATTATGGATTAATTATGTGAGTACTAAAAAAAACTGAACTATCAATAACTTTGGAAATTAATACAATAAATAGTTGAATAATTGTCATAAGTCTGAAGTTTCGACATTTCGACGTTTCATAATATTCTGAATAATTTGAATGTTATCTCACAACCAATGAATTTTGACAGAACCCGAATTATTTTTAATTCTCAGATAAGTATGCAGAAGAATCCTTTAGAACTCTATCAACTCCTCTACAACAATGGGATTGGAACGATGGTAGCAGACACGTATCGAGCATGGGCATTCGAATTAGAACAGGTAAACGACAACAAGCGAGCTGACGAAGTCTACGATCTCGGCTTAAGAGCAAGAGCAGAGCCCCTAGATGAATTATCCCACGCCCATGCTAATTTTCAATTTGCCGTTGCCCGAAAAACCCTCGGAAGAATGGAGGAGCGCAATGAGGTATCTCTCCTCGAGCAACGCCAGGCGTTCTCTTCCCTGCGGGCCATCAAGTCCGGTAGACGTGCAACGCACGTGAGAACTGGCCAGCGTGTCAGGGATTATCAACCTGGAGTAGTACCTCAGGGCTCTCAAGTACCGATTGGCAGGGGGAATGCAAAAATCCAGATCTATCAAGACGAGCCAGAACCTCTGGAGCCGCGAGGATCCAGTATTCTCGATCATGTGCCGATTGAAGAAACTGTTCATAAAGAAAACACCATTAAAGCTGGACCGTGGAGCAATGCTGGTAGAAAACATCCGCTCATTCCTCCATCGGCAAAGACTTCATTCAAAATTCACGAGGACAGAGTTGACGATAATTTCGACACCGAGAAACTTCATCTGTACCCGAATCACGTGACATTTTTCGATGGCAGAAACTATCCAGAGCATAAGACAGTCCCAGTTTTTGTGCCTGAACAACCATCGGCAATGATTACAAAAACATTTTATCCCAAAGATTTAGTTTACGCAAATAATATGGATCGTAGTATGGAGGAGATACGGGCTGAGCGTTACTTCAAGCAGAGGAGAATCCAGGAGAAAATGCACTACGAAAATCCAGAGGGTTTGATGAATGGGCAGAATATGCAGAAGCCTCATGAGATGGAGAGAAGGAGTTATGGTGACGAGGGGATTGAGAGGTTGAAATTTGAAGCTGAGCAGAAGCGTGAGAAGGAGAGACTCGACGCTGAGCAAAGGGAGATGGAGAGGAGGCAGGTGGAGCAGATGGAGATGGAGAGACAGAGAAGGGAGGAGATGGAGAGAATGAGGAGGGAAGAGATCGAGAGACAAAGGAGAGAGGAAATAGAGCGTCAAAGGCGTGAGGAAATTGAGAGACAGAGGAGGGAAGAAATTGAGCGCCAGAGACGAGAGGAGATTGAGCGTCAGAGGCAAGAGGAGATGGAGAGAGAGAGACAGGAAGAGATGGAGCGTCAACGACGTGAGGAAATCGAGAGGCAGAGAATTGAAGCTGAACGAATTGAGGCTGAGAGAATCGAAAGCCAGAGAATGGAGGCTGAACTCAGTCGACAGAGAAAAATTCCACAGAATTATTTACATCACACATCAGCAAACTGCAGTCTCGATCCCTCCATGGAGCACCTCCTCGGACAGAGTATCACCGTAAATACAAAAGAAGCAATGTCTGTTGTTCAAGATCTGTGGCATTCTCCAAACGAATCCACCTCTCCCATCGTGCCCTCACCCATGCAACACAGAATGCCAGA